AAAAAAAAATAAAAAAAAAAGATTCCATCTTGGGTGTAATGCAATTCTCCCATTTTCTTCTTTGATTTTCTTGGGAAGAAGGGTGGTTTTTTGATTTAAGATTATTTGATGTACTTGAAGATATGTTTTTAAAAAAATAAAAAATAAAAATAAAGATTATTACCATGTATAGTTTTACTAAAAACCCATCTCTCTCTCTCTCTCTCTTTCTCTCTCTTTCAACCTCTCTCTTGTATTGTAATGTTTAATTTTCAAGAAAATTAAAGAAAAAAAACCCTTGAGCCATCAAGAAAGAAAAATGCTTGAATAATCATGGGTTTTGTGTAAATGGGTTTGTTTTGCAGAGGTTGTTTAAATTTTTTGTTTTAAAATCATCATGGTGAGGCAAAAGATTCAGATCAAGAAAATCGACAACTTGACCGCAAGGCAAGTGACTTTTTCGAAGAGGAGAAGAGGGCTTTTCAAGAAAGCTCAGGAGCTCTCGACCCTCTGCGATGCCGATGTTGCCCTTATCGTCTTCTCCGCCACCGGCCGGGCCTTCAATTATTCTAGCTCAAGGTCTATTTCTTTACTCTCTAACCCCACTCTAAATCACACACTCAATAATGTTAATTTTGTTCTTTACCCTTTACTAGGTTTTGTAACCTTGTATGAACCCTTTTAGCCTATATAATATATCTATATATTGTTTCAAGAAAATAATATGGAAATAATTTCAATATTGGCAATAATATTAATATATTTGAATTAATTACTTCCCAAATAGTGATCACTAGTGGCTTAATTTCCCTCCTTGCTGCTGCCTGCTCATAGTACAATTTTGTAGTCAAATCTCATGAGGGTTGTCAATTCTTGAGAAGTGATTATGGAGAAGAATTGTACTGTAATAAACATTAATTGCATATATATATATATATATATATATATATATATATAGAATAAATGAAATAATGAAACAATTACTACTTTTGGTAATGGTTCTGGTTAGAATTAATTATAAATTTACAATTATAATTCTGTGTACTTTTATGCATAAATAAATAAATTTGTGTACAATATTTTTAAATATTATATGCCTCAAAAAAATATGTGTAGTGAAGGACATGTTTATGAGGCTTTAAAATAGGTAGTAATAATTTCAAGAAAATGCCACAATCTCGTTACGGACTATTCCGTTGAAATTTGTAACGTTAGATGCACATGATAACTAACATAGATTATGAAGATGATATTTGTTTTAGGATAGTCTAAATAAAATCAGAAACCCGATGCATATATAGCACTCTTATTAACCATCATTTATATTGTAAATAATGTGATTTGTTTTAAAGTAAGCATCGAAATCAATCGCTTATATACAAAAGGTGCTTGCATATATATGTATTTCTTGGTTTAAGGAACTTGAATATAACTTGGTGTCTATAAGTTTGTTAACACATTTGACAATTGCAACGTTTAAGCGGGGCGGTAGTTTTTGGTAGCTAGCTACGGTATCTGGAACTATGTTCCGACTAATTCGTTGGTCGACCCGAGTCGTACATCTGGCAGTGGTGGGTGAGTCTCCCAATAAGGGTTTTCTGCATCCACAATGACTCGAACCCGATACCTTGCTTAAGCGGGACGGTATTTGATAATATATAAAGTAATTTATCCATCATTATTATATTTGTAAATAAAAAAATTAAATTAATAGAATAAAAAATATTTCATATATTATTAAAAACCTCCTTGTAAATAATATTTTGCCTCATAGGCACACCATTCTCCCTACAAACTAATATTTCCAAGCTCTTTCGATTAGTGACACGGGAAATAGCTATATACAAATGACCTTGACTGAATACCGACTTCTTCAAAAACATGCCAACTTGTGAAAAAGATTGATCTCTGGCTCTCTTGTTGATCGTCATGACATAAAAAACATTAAATAAAATTACCGCGACTAAAATATGAAAGGTACTCTAAAGTCGGAAGGTGTTAGTCATCCAAGGGATCAACACCTTCTCACCTGCATTAGATCCAGTCAAATACCTTATAACATTCAAACACATGAGTAGGAAAGCTTTGTGACAATCAATCTCGTACTATAGCCCCATAGAATGATCAATGTTCTGCTTTAACATGATTGGGGTTCTATCATAAGATCCAACTCATGGTTCGACGGTCTAAAACATCTTATAGCATTCAAAAAATCGGGGTATGGAGATTGGTCAAAAAATCATTATTGAAATCAAATTTGCAGGTACTATCAAAGTTCAAGTATGTTTGACAATCAGTCACGTTCAAAGACATCATGTACTCATTGATAGACTCAACTACCCCCAACACTTGGGGTAGTATAGCCCTATCCTTCAAATAATTGGGATAATCAGTTGCATTCTTAAACAATATTGGATAGATATTCTCAACAATTGTAGCGATAAGTTAATGGGCTCCAACAATATATTATATATCAGGTATATCTATCAAGGCACATCCATCATTGGTTTCCCCAATGGTTTCATCCTAGTGCTCGCTATTCAATTAACAAAAGTAGTAAATTCCTCGATTCATCCGAATCACCAATGGTGTGAAGGCGGATTTTTTTAGCCCACATAAAACTATGATTATGATATCATGTTAGTGATTGTTTATTTACATATTATTTATTTTAATGACATTTTGATCTAATTCTTATTCAATTAATTGCAATAAGTTATTAATTTAAGAAAGAAATAAGTTACTAAAATTGTATAAAAAGCAAAGTTTAATTTGGTTATTTGCACAAAATTATATATTTACTACAACAAAATATTCATATTATTGAAATTCATATACATTTTAAGAAACTCAATTTGGTGTGACTAAATTGACTTATGACATGATGACTTGTCATGCAACTCAAGTTGTATCATGTTTTGGAATGCTTTATAGCACCTCCAATGCTATAGCTTTGAAAGACAATAATTTTTAACACATGTCAATCAATGATTGTAACGTTAATCCATGTAGGAATAATGTTAAAAGAGTAGAAATTTGAATCAAATTAGTATCACCAATGCATCAATTTGATAAGAAGTTATTTGTTTAGGTGGACCAATTCAAATAATTATTAATACAATAATAATAAAAACTTAAATCAAATATAAAGTGAATTGAATGTTTAACATGGTGTTAGATATTAAAAAGTGTGCTCAACATTGTCAACATTAAATGCTATCACATCATCATGAAAGAGCTCATGAGAATATGCATTTGAAAACAATTTAGTAACACTCTTTCAAATGTTGTAGATGAATTTTTATAATGTCAAAAGCCACATTAGAGATGCTCTCAACAAATGGCCGAACTGTGATCCAGTTAACTCGGATAGTAACTCAGTTCAGTCAGTTCAATATGTTAATTTTACGATAAGAAAACAATCCATGATTCACGTAGTAAGTATTTGTAACAAAGGATCATAAATTAAGATTATAAATTATAGAATACAAATGCAAAATTAGTCTCCAAGGCATGTAACCAAGTGGCTTAATAGGTTTGAGCACAATTCATGTGTGTGTGGGAGTTCATGGGGTTTGAACCTGAATGCCGTAGGGAGTGTGTGGCGGCAAAAATTTAAAATTGGTCTTATAATTTGGCTATTGTCCAAAAAACCACTTTTATATTGACCACTTTCAGTTTAGATCTTATAATTTGTCGATTTCATCAATTTTGGTCCTTTTTTCATGCCATGTCATTTTTAATCCAGGGTACGGATAAAAAAGGACCAATATTGATGAAATCGACAAATTATAAGATCAAAATTGACGTGCCACGTAGATCATAAACACGCCATGTAACCTTAAAAAAATGCCACGTCATGCCACGTCACTTTTTAATCCAGGGTCTGGATAAAAAGGACCAAAATTGATGAAATTGACAAATTATAGGACCTAAATTGAAAGTGGTCAATATAGGGGTAGTTTTTTGGACTGTGGCCAAGTTATAGAACCAATTTTAAAATTTTGCCAGTGTGTGGCCGCTTACATTGCCTGGAATGATAATTAGTCCCACGCTTCTTTGTGTAGATCCCTTAGGCAGAGATATGCTCGTACTCCACAGGGGGTAGACAATTCGTGATGAAGCATTTGGAATGAATGTGGGGATACCTCCCGGTCGAAGAAAAAAAAATGCAAATAAATTATATTTATTTTTATGTATAATTATAAAATAATAAGTATTTTTATGTATAATTATAAAATAATAAGTATGATATTTCTAAAAATTAAAATTTTAACTAATTATAAAGATTCTTCAAAAAATAAGACAATGCTAAAAAAGAAATAAAAAACTGCGAGTTATGAATTTTTTTTGGTAACATTTAAGTGTACGGTAGAAAATTCACATATTATTTCATACTTACATAAATTTAAATAAGTAATGCGGCTGCTGAGTCTAAACACTAAGAGCATCAAATGCTCAATGTTGTTGTGGTAAATTACATTCTATACCAACACATTTAGCAATGTCATAACTTTTCATCCTCCAATGTACAATTTTATCACGGCAAATTGCATTTTATGCCCCGTAATTAGGAGTGTGTGGCAAATGTGGACAACTTCTTTTTGGTTTGGCAAAAGTGCCCTGAAACTTGTTGAAACCCGAAATTCGTGCCCAATTTGGGCACAAATTGCAAATTTTAACAAGTTACTGTCCTGTTTTGTCACACGAAAAACCGGTCATATCCGGTAACTTGTAGGTAAATGGGCACGAGTTCCGGGTTTTAACAAGTTTTGAGGCACTTTTGCCAAACCAAAAAGAAGCTGTCCACATTTGCCACACACGTATAGTTACAGGGCACAAAATGCAATTTTGCCATTTTATCACAAATGTTGTGATGACGTGGACATAATTAATGTCTACAATGTAGAGAAGGATAAGGTTCATCCACATTCTCCTCTACACTCTAGGTATCCAATGGAGAGAATGGAGAGAATACATACTAATTCCGAACAATTTAATTATCTAATTAATTTTTTTACTATATATTATAAAATTTTGTATTTGGTAAGCAGATAGAATTGTAGTTAGACTACATTGTGCGTTGGTGATAATTTTTTAATTTTATAGTTGTAAACTTGATGTTTTTTTCTACATGGTTCACAATCCAGTTAATTTATTGACATTTGTCAAAATTTATTTTATTACAACAATATTAGAGCATTGAAGATGCTCTAAAGGTAATACCTAATATTTGTTTTCAAAATTATGTGAAGAAATATATATGATTTTTTTTTCAAATTATCATTATTTCATAATTTTTCTAAATAGTTATACCTAATATTTGTTTTCAAAATTATGTGAAGAAATATATATGAATTTTTTCCAAATCATCATTATTTCATAATTTTTCTAAATAGTTATACCTAATATTTTTTTTCAAAATTATGTGAAGAAATATATATGAATTTTTTTGCAAATTATCATTATTTCATAATTTTTCTAAATAGTTATACCTAATTTTTTTTTTTCAAAATTATGTGAAGAAATATATATGAATTTTTTTGCAAATTATCATTATTTCATAATATTTCTTGTCCTTGACATTCTGTTCATGTCTGTTTTCTATTATTTATTTATTTATTTATTTATTTTTTATATATTTTTCAGCATGATGCAACTCATCCAAAGGCGTAATCAGCAGTCGGATATATCTGATAAAGTTGGGCAGCAACACCTCCAAGTTCAGGTCATCATCAACTTTCAAGCTTACTTGCGCATTATATATAAAAATTCTGATAAAATCGAACTTCTTCGTGGAGATGTTGAGCATATATTGATAACTCCTTCTCGTTTTTTTTTTTTTTTTTTCGACTTTGTTAGACCGAAAGAGATCGCCATGAGACAGCTAGCAGGCAACTTGCGAGCCTAACTCTCGAGCTAAAGTATATGTCATCTTATTGTATATTTATTGGTTTTTTTTTTCTGAAAAATATATATATGCTTCTTTTTCCCGCGTACATTTGATCAATAGCAGAAGAAAAAGGAAAATCATGTTTCAATTGCAGGCAACTGATGGGAGAAGAGCTTCAAGGACTCGGCTTTCATGATCTGGTGAAGCTCGAAAAATCGGTTGAGATTGGATTAAGCCGTGTTGGGAAAACTAAGGTTAATCAATTAGTTCCGAATTTTTTTTTTTTCATCGCGTTTTTCGTGTTATTTTGCTGTTTAATTAGTTTTATTTTGTCACGAGTTTTATTACAGAATGACATGGTTTTGAACGAGATCAGCAAGCTGAAGACAAGGGCAAGTTCTATTAAAACCTACGTTATATATCTTTTTTTTTTATGGTAAAATTGTAATTTTAGTCTTGTTAGTTTGATCTAGTTACGTTTTTAGTCTTAAGAATTGAACATTTTCGCTGTTTGGTCCTATGATTTGAAAATTCACGCTATTTCAACCATTTGAAACTGAAAATGCAACAAAATTTAAAATTACAGTACTTAAATTGCTAATAAAAAATCTTTTGGATGAAATTTTTATTAGCAATTTAAGTCTTGTAATTTTAAATTTTATTGCAATCCCAAAAGACTGAAATTGCAGCAAAATACTAAATTACATGATCAAAAGACAAAAAAGGTGAAATCTTATTACTATAAATGTTACAACGTTAAACCAACAGAACTAAAAAAAAGCAATTTTGCCGTTTTTTTATTTCACGAATATGTTATATGTGCATTATAATATTTATTTGTTTTTTCTAAAAAAATGAATAAATAAATAAATGCAGGAAGCAGAACTGCTTGATGAAAATGCAAGGTTGAAGCAGCAAGCTGAGGTAAATAATAATCCATATTTTTAATTTTCAATCTTTCTAATAATTTTCATTTTCCTCTCTCTATATATACATACACGAGTGATCGTTCAAGAATGTAAAATTTTTCGCGCATTTGAGCTCGTGAATGAAATACTGTGTAGGCCCAAGATTTCGCATGCACGAGAAATATTGCTAACGATCAAGGAAGCTCAGCCGAGTCGATGGCGAATTCTCATGGATTAGTGCATAATAATAGCAACAAGAATCTCTCTGATACCTCTCTCAAGCTGGGGTATGCATATATCTAAAACTTATTTACACTTGTGTAGTCATGAGACTTGGTATTACTTAATTAATGAATTAGTGTGACCATTTAATTAGACTGTAGCTAATAATGAGATGAACTTGCAGATTAACCTATTATTATTATTATTATTAAAACAAAATGCATATTTATTCTATTTAATTTCATATTATTGATATATTTTTTTTTTATCAATTTAATGAATGATGCCTATTTTTACCACAGGTTACCCTTCTCCTCCGATAGCAACTGAACAGAGGACGCTAATGCAATAAGAAACGGGTTATTATTTCATGAATTTAAATGGGAACAACTGTAATTATTTCAGTTGTCTAGAAAATATGATTTTATTATAAGTGCGTTTTCATTCGATTCGATGCCATTCATAATCACCAATTAGTACATAGCCCGTGAAACGAGTGCAGTCTCACACAGGTGAAGCGCACCATAAGGATTAACCCAAAAGAAGCACAAGTGAGGTTTTAACCCAAAATCAATTGGTGATGGGGGAGTAGCCCACTAGACTTATAAACTAGACTCGTTTATCCTATCAAATCAATGTGGGACAACTCACAAGTGATATTCCAACTATTTTTCAGCTTGTCCGTTAAGTAGCTCATGTGATTCACGGAAGATATTAAATGAGTGGACCATAGGCTTGTCCGTTCATGTCTAAAAAATAATAGAGTTTGATCATCTATCTTTTTACATCTTTTCATCAGCATTTTTTTTGTCGGAACATTTAACCTGATCCTGGTATCGCTAGCCCATAGATTAATTAATATATTATCTCGCTCACATGTTCATAATAATATAAATTTGATTTCGTTATATATATTTATTCCTTGATATAAGAAAAATAACAATTTTACCTAATCTTATTCCTCGTATAATACTCATATTATTTTATTATAAAATTATTGTAATATAATGTCATTATTATTATTATTTATACAAGTTATAGATGTAGTCTTCTTCTTTCTTTTTGTTTTATGTAATTTAAATGTTAATATTATTTATTAATGTAATTAATTTAAATTATGTAATAAATTTAAAGTAAAACATTTTGTACAAATATTTTACAAAATATACACAAATGTTTTTTTAGAATTTATCTTTTTATAATAAATAAACATCTTTGAAATTCTATGCAATTATTAAACATCCTTGATATAAATTCGAAATCATAATTGAATTCTATGCAATTATTAATTCCGTTCGATGAAATGGGAAACAAATCATTTGGAAAGGTAACAAAATGATAAAGAATTTAAAATTTAAATTTTAAATAAGACATATTTTTACTTCAAATGGAATTATTATTTTATTCGATTTTATGGCAAACAATTCATTCAGGATTTTAATGTAACAAAAAGATAAGAAATTTTAATATTTAAATTCAAATATGAAATGAGATATGTTTTTACTTGAAGTCTATATGTCCGATTTGTTGCAAAACACATCAATTGAAGATGAATTAATGCAACCGATTTTTTTAGCAATTAAATAATAGTAATACAATTGAAAAAATTGATGGAAATAGAATGTATTAATTGTCCTTTGACTTCTCTTGCTACTAATTTTAGTAAATATGATGACTCTTTATATAGATATATAGATACATTTTTTCTCGTTCACATTCACATCATTTTTCTACTAAATATTTATTTATTTAAACACTCTTCTACATTCATTAAACTTAGACATTAAAATGTTGTTGGCTCTAGTAAAAACTTACAGTATAAAAATTATAAACAAGTGTCAAGATATATTTTTATTTATTTATTTATTTTGGTCATAGTTGAGCAAATTAATTTGTAAAAAAGCACACCCTAAACAATCAACCCTTAGGGTGTGTATGTTTATAAATCATTTCAACTCATACTTAAAATACAACTAACTTCACTTTCCTCAAATAATTAAATAATATCAACTATGGCTATTATCGAACCGAACCGAGCTTAAGATTTTCGAACTCGAGTTCGACTAATTTCTTAACATGTTTGTGTCTGTTCATTTAATATTTGAACAAAAAAATTCATTCGTGTTTGTTGTTTATATAGTCGAACTTGTTCATAAATTGTTCGAATTGTTTGACAAGTTTGTGTTTGAAGTATTCGACAAGTTCCACTTTGTTGGCAATTTTTTTTATTTTATTTTATTATCATACAAGTTATTTTGTTTAATATTGAATATATATATAAGATGAAGTTCAAATGAGAACCAAGTCATTGTTTGAGAACCGTGAGAACAACTGTTTTTAATTGTATGTAATGGTACGATTAATTGTGTGTTAGTGTTATTTTTAATAAAAAATATATATTATTAAAAATAGTAACACAAATTGTATTAAAATTTGTGAAATGATAGCACAATGTAATAATAAAAATAGTGTCATACATAATTAGAAATAACATCAAATATAGTTCTCACAGTTCTCCAATCAGGACTAGTTTTTATTTGAACTAGCCCCTATATATATATATTATATCGTATTATATATGTATATAACATATATAATATAAAATTAAAAAATACATTTTTGTTTGCGAACGCTCGTTTTGTTTGCGAACAATTCAACTCGAGAACGTCCCTAATATCAACCAATCATTATTAAATATCACAACAACTTTAATTCACCTACCTAATCTTAACTAACCATCAATTCATATCATCCCTATCATACTTTTAAATGAAATCAACATTAATTATTTTACTTTAAATGTTATTTTAATATAAACTCAAAATTTCTCTAACAAACTCACTATACCAATTCTTTGAAAATTAACTCTAGTTAATAGAAAAAAATGGTTTAGAGCTACAAGCACGGCACAATAAGACAAATTCTTCCAAAATTAACTCTAGTTGATAAAAAAAATAAAAAATAAAAAAAAAAAACTCGTTTTGAGCTGTTTTGATTATTTGCTTCTCCAACTCTTTCAAAATGGATACGCGGAGGGCACGCCCTAACAATTAAGACGCATTGAATGTTTTGACAGGACATGATACAGTCTCGTTACAGAATTATTCTGTCGGGGTATATAATTATTATATCAACAATCTTTGACAGTTAAATGATGATTTATCGATTACATATCCTGACGAAATGGTTCTGTAACGAGACCGTAGTATTTTCCTGACATAAAAAAATACATAAATAAAAACAAATAAATGGCAAACATGTTGTCATGTAAAAGCATGTATGTTTTTCTTAGAACATCCACAATGCTTTGGGTCTCTTTTTGTATATGTGGTAAATAAATAGACTTAAGTCTAATGACATGGACAAACTCAAACTAAAAAATCTAAAATCTATCCAATGCAAAACAAAAAAGTACTAAGTCTAGAATGTTAAACAACCAATAAAAATATAGTAAAAATACATACAAAAAAATGTGTTTTGCCTATTAAAAAAAAAAAGAAAATTATGAACAATTAATAATTAGGTAGATTTGTACTTGAGTCCAAAATAGACCCAAATGTGGACTTTATCTCTTTTTTCTAGTGCCACATAAGTTATATTAGGTCTACTTTTAATTGCGAAATATTTTTTTTTTTGTAGATTAAGTCTATTTTCTACATATTATGTGATTTTTTTTCTTATGAATAATAGGAAAAAGAAATAAATAAAGGAAAACCACCTATATTTCCTTTCAAACTTCCCATGAAAGTCTCGTGATTTTTCAAATTTCATCGAGAAAAATGGTTAAAAGGAGAAGTGCCACCGGGAAGAAGAACTACGTTGGCGGCGGAGGAGGCGGGAGCAACAACTGTCGACACTCGGATTTCGATTTCGCTGATGAAGACCAGCGCGTGGAGGCTGAATCCCAAAGATTCCTCGCCAAATTCCGGGTTCGAAGCCCTTGCAAAAAAACTGCACACAATCGACGACCTCTTGACAAATACTACTTACTCGAGTTCTGTAAGTCGATTATCGAGCAGTCGTTGTTGGGCGATGATCTTATCGGGTTTTTGCTTTGGTTTGGTGATCAATGGTGGTGATTGTTTTATTGTAGTTTGTTTGGGCAACTTGTTTTCATGTAATTGTGTGTCAAATGTTTGGGTTAGGTTTTAATGTTTTATCTGAATAGCTCTTACAAAACCTCTAAATATGCAACTGAACCCAGTCATCAACCTATGTAGAAAAAACTTAAGAAGAATTTGAGCTGATGGTTGTGTAAGTTTATGGAAAATGCCAAATGAATTGAGATGATAAGTTTGTTTTTCTATGGGCTGCTGACAGGTTCTACCCTTTCAGTCTGTAATTTTTTTTCAAAAAAGGGCACCACGGTTAACCTGTTCACCGAGAAGTTCGAACAATGTTCATTCCTTGGGGGAAATATGCTAAAATTGGAATGATACATCTCTGCTTTTGTTGTGTTCTTACATTTTTTTTGTTGAGTTTAATTGTGCTGTTTCGTGCGTAAACATTGAACTGGCCTTCTGACTTCTTTCATGAACGAAATTTTGCAGTTGCACAAGAAGCCACTCAACAAAAGGATTATGGGAGTGAGGTGTGTTATGTCGATGCTACTTGTGGTGCATCCCGAAATATTTACTAATGCGAAAGGTATGACCTTATTATCACCTGGTTCTTTGAACGTTTCGATGATCCTTGTTCTTTCCAGAAGCAGCAGAACTCTGAACATTCCACATGCCATACTAAATCCCGTGGACCAGCAGGCCGGAAAGGTTACAAAACTGGCACGAAGCATGTAAACTACTAAATTAGTTAGTCTTCAGTTTCTTCCAGAATTTGAGATTTTAGTATGTTCTTGCATATAAATATCCCAGGATTTGCTCCATCTTACATGCAGAACAAAGTACTGTGTGTAGATTCTGATGAAGATGGACAAATGGATTTGAGATCATCAAGTTCTGTTTATGTTGAAGAGAATCAAGGTTATTTTGTCATCATATTTGAAACAATGTTATGCATCATGGTGATCTTTCGATCTCATTTCCACTTCGGTAACAAGTACAATTTATGCATCTATTTTTCTGTGGGCTCCTTTTCAGGTTCATCAAAGAGACAATCGTCAGACTATGAAGCCAACAATAATGATTGTGTTAGTGTATTACTTTGAAGTAACTTATGTTGGGAGTAAATGATTGTGCATTGTGTATATGCTAGTTTTTTTTTTTTTTTTTTTTTTTTTTTTTTTTTTTTTATATCCCACACAAACGATTCAGATTTTGAAATTCTAAGCCGTCTTAATAGCTTTTCCAATCATATCAAGAAAATAACTTGAGACTTATAAAGTAGCAGATAATGAATTTCTTGTTCTTGGACTAGTCGAGCTTTCTCCTTCTATCTTTTTTAATGTAAGAACCATTTGCTCTTCATTGATGTATTTTTATTTGTTTGTTTTGTAGGAATCAGTGGTGGTTGTTTCACCCTCCTTTGTTAAATATGCGAATAAGCATTATACGAGCTGTCACTTAATTTTTTCTCAAAGGTGCATCAGACTTGAGATATCCCCAGGCGAGGGAAACAAAGATCCTAGCCTTGAATGGCCGACATGTGATATTATGAAAATTGAGCATCAGCAATGTAAAAGTGTGAGTGTAGTTTTGACTTTTCACTTGCTGAAACATACTTACTTATTTCAGTATGGATTGATAACATTAAATTTAACTTAAATATTGTTTGATTGATAACTGTAGGCTAAAGCCGAATTTGTCAATCTACTCTTAAAATCCAAATACATAGTCATTGCTGATACTGGGAATCAGAACTCAGGTTAGGCCTCGATAATTGTTATTCTTTTTTGTTAAATATACCCTCTCTGTCATTCAACGTTGCTTTTCCATAAGGATGCTGCTTTTAAGAATTTGTATTGCCTAATCATTTTGGCTGTCCTTGAACTCCTATTCTTTAGAAATTGTTACTTCAATTTTTTATATTGAAGTGTATGATTTATTATGACATTCTCATTCTCTGGATGCCAGCAAAACTGTAAAATTTATCTTTTATGTTTGTTGCTTAGGAACTGAAGGCTAATGTAATATATGTGGGTATCATAATAGTCATGGACTTATTCTTACCGCAAATTGCATAGGATGAAATAATGAGTTTCATTCATATTTTTCTCAAATGTTGTGAATGAGAGGTTGATATACAAAAAGAAGTTACCTTTGGATTTTATAATTGGGTGATTCGAAGTCTTTAAGAAAAAAAAGTTCACTGGCTAGCAGTCTGTTAGAAAATTTGATCATGCATTCTTGTACTGCAATGGTGCTTACTCTGTCCTGATTAATAATTTAATAAAATTGTACATCTTATTATGCCGCATTACCTCATGCAGATAGAACTATTTAGTTGCTAGATCTTTGAAATAGCCAACCTTATCCATAGTGTTGAGCACAATGTTTATTGGATTAGAATTTCCATTAGTGGTTTTGTTGCCTTGTCTTAGAAACTCCCATCATTATCATTTTATTATTCAATTTACTTCCAGATGAACATGTCAACTCAATATACTGGATGCCTTTTAACGTGATTGTTTTTACAATCTATGTGCACATGAGATGCTGTTATTGGGTTTTCCAATTAACTCTCAGTTTCATTAATACTGGGCAGGCAGTGTACAGCTTGAGTTTGTTGTTCATGATAGTTCTGAGTGGCCTGGGAAACTAGCGGGCATAAAATCATTGGGTCTGAAATATGAAGCTGCTTGGGAAACTATCATAAAGTAAGCTACTTGATGACATATTGTATATCTATTTTCATTTATACTTTTTATCTGCTGCTTTTTCCCCAATTCGTTAAGAGTTAGATGAACACAATGCTATAATTGTGTGCAATGTCATTGGTTGCCCATTTGGTTTTCTTTTCATTTTGTGCTTCCTTTTTTTCCCCAATGTCCATGGTTTTTATGTGAAACAAAAACTGCACCGTTATACAAGAAGTTGCATATATTACTCATCTATGCTTACTTTAAATCTTTAAAGATGCTGTATGTGTCTGTATTTAGGTTAAAAAGAGTAAAGTGAGCTTTTTGTTATTTCCATTGTGTAGTGAATGCAATTTTGATGAGTCCTTTGAAGGCGTAGTCTATCCAGATGGGGATCCTGATGCTGTCTTCATAACTAGAGAGGACATCGAGCTATTACAGCCAAAGACTTTCATCAATGATACTATTATTGACTTCTATATCAAGTACGGCAAGTCTGCATAATATTTCATTCCTTTTATACTTGATTACATTTGGAAGATAATCTCGATTTCCCAAAAACATTAGCGTTCTTCTTGGGATGTGGATATATTGCTAGTCTTGAGTTATCAGTTTTCTCGTGCCTATCTATTTGCTTCGCCACCTAGGTCATTCTTAATTTTTTAAATTATTACTAGTACAATACTCGCGTACTACACCGGTGATTAATAAATTAATTGAATGTACAACAAAAAATGAAAAAATAAATATATATTTTGTTGAAGTTGAAAATAGATAAATGAGGAACAATATATATAATAATTTATAATAAAGAACTAAGTGAACTAACAATATTATTTTAAATTCTGAAAACTAATTTATATACATCATTAATTTATTTATACAATTTTTTATTTAAAACACATAAGGAAATAATATGGACAGAGCACAAAATTTTGAAAGTAAGATTATATGCACAATAGATTTATATGGAATAGTTTAAATATATTAAATATGTGTATAAGTATGAAAATCCGAACTTAAACTATTTTGTATAAAAAATGAAATTTAATTTAAGCCATATTACAAAGCATAATATTTTGCCACGTAAGACTACGAATAGGCTCAGCGCATCCTGAAATTATATGTAAGGGAGTTTTTATTTGTCCTTCTCTAAAACTAGCACATATCACATACGATGCACGGTACATATTAATCAGTATACTATAAAAAATAAAACATAATCCAATTTTTTAGTAGTATAATGCATCAACAATTTTAGACCATTAATTATTTATAGGCAAACTATTCATTGATTTATTATAATTATAAGGATAAAACACTTGTCAATATCTCACTGCATTAACTTTGCAAAAAGAATTATAGATAATGGAAAAGGAGCGTCATTCCATTTTAATTCAGAAGAATCCATATATCCTAAAAATTGGGCAATCTGTGTCTATAAAGAAAATGTAGTAAATTTTAATTGACAAAAGTTTTAATGCAAGAATGAAAAGATCTTGTCCATGTTGTCAGCAGTTACATGATTCTCAATGCCAATATATACTGAATTGTATCAATTTCTCTTTTTCCAAATATATTGTATTTTATATCCATTTCATACATAGAGAACATTGTTTTCACAAATACGAATATTTAATTAAGATCAAATCTTCAATTAGGACCAATGACACGTAATTAAGATGCAATTAGCAGATCAAAATCCACACACTGCTTTACCAAATTACAAAATTTCCTATTTTAGTAACAAATATCTTTATTGGCGGGATATAGTTACTTTCTCAATTAAATCCAAACACACACACACACACACGCACACACACACACACACATATATATATATATATATATATAGGTGCACAGATTTTTAGCTCTCACCTCTTTCATTGTCTATTTGTCTTTTCACCTTTCAATCAACTGAATCAAGGAATGAGCTCCTTCCACCGACAGTTCCCACCCTTCATCTGCATGTTGTGTTGTCTCCGTAAACATATGCATGCGAACAGAATCAGTATTTGAAGAAATTTTATTCTTACTGCACAAATTTAAGTAAATGCTATAAAATTACTAGTGGCAAATGGTTAATAGTACCTTCATATTCTGTATCTGGTGCTAGGAGATTGCTTGTAACACCATCAGTGTAATTTTCTATCGTGGATATATTTGAGGATGGTAATGTATAGTTTTTATGAACTGCATCATAAGATGGCTTGAATAATGATAGTGGAGGCGATAACCAACTTGTCAAATTCTCACATATACTTACAATGGGTGGTTGAATGGCAGGTATCTCGTAAATAATTCTAACAAGGAGAAGCAGCGTAGGTTCCATTTCTTCAATACATTTTTCTTTCAGAAGCTTCTGGATATGGATCGGGATCTATCTCGAGATTGTGAAAATAACGATGCTTTTCAACGCGTTCGTAAATGGACGAGGAATATAAATATTTTTGAAAAAGACTACATATTTATTCCTGTAAACTTCAGGTAATAAATGCTGTTATAGATTTCTCAATAGTACATTATTTCCAAGTTTGTCGTCTAAGGCCACTTTACCCCCTTTATTTGTAGCCTGCACTGGAGTCTGATTGTTATCTGCTATCCTGGGGAAGTTGCTAACTTAAGAGGCATGATGATTCTTTGCACAAATGTTATGCCTTTTTGTTTATTTAGTTTTTTGTTTCCCCTCATATTTGGATATCCTTGTGCAGACAAAGATCTGGATAGCATAACTAAGGTGCCATGCATTTTGCATATGGACTCACTAAGAGGAAGCCATGGAGGGCTCGAGAATCTTATTAAGAGGTAAGCTGCTGGTAGTTGATGCTCAAGATACTGTGTTAGTAAGTATGAGGCCCTTTCTGTCCCATCATTGTATGATTTCGTATTCGGAGACATCGTACTCTATATTGTGTATCGTCTTACCCAATCCATTTGACAATTGGTTTGTGCGTGTTATGTGATTCGCTTACAGCCCAGAGGCAGTAATCAGGAAAATCTAATTTCATATGATATTTTTATTGCATTGCTTGTTGTTGCAAGAACAGAATTTTCTGCATTTAATTCAGGAATCTTGATGAGAAATGGTAGTCATGGTCAATTATCGTCTTCTTTGGTAAGAAATGAAATATGCATATGCAATATGTAAAAATTATGAGGCTAACATTTTTTTCCAATCCCTCTATCTGATTAAAATGTTGTAAGTTTATTTTCTTGATCCATTTATTACTGACTGGAAATGTTATGCTATAGCTAACTGTTTCCCACAAGGGACGCTGAGCTTCTGAGAGAGAAGCTTATGGTGTGGCCTCTTTTGAAACACTTCTTATAGATAGCCATCTTTGACATGCAATTATCTCGCATGTTATTATCTGCGAAACTAATTTTGGTAAACAAAGTAGCCCTTTTATTTCTTGTTGATCTATTTGTACGTTCATCCACTACTTTAGCACTCTATGTTAATGTTATCGAACCACGATTATCAATCTAACCAGAGCTCATTCTCATTTCTATTTAATCTTCCTGTTGATTGAGATGTAAAAAATAAAAGCAAGATCTGTCATACATAGTATTCTGATTTTTCGGGATTGAATTGAGGAACGTTCGTCAGTTTGAGATAAGGTGCTACATAAAAGTTTGTTGAGTTCCTTTTTCTGACCCGTGATTGCTTGTGTGAAGAAAATCTTGAATGCTCAGGATACCAGGGTTTAAGTCTTGTTTTTCTTTTGAAATTCCAGTTACTTGTGGGAAGAATGGAAAGAGAGGGGCTACAAACAAGAAAATGACATTTCACAAACTTTCTTGAATTTGGATTTTATCGAGCTTCAGGTTTGACTACTCTGCAGAACTCCATTCTTGTTGCCTTTCAGTTGTTTATTTTGCACTTGATTGCTTGAATACTGGTGATATCGATATGGAGTATAGATCTATTATTGTGCAAAGATTACGTCCTTTAATTGCATTCCTACAGGCTACAGTTGATACTGGTGTTCAAAGGTGTACTAGCTGGCAGGTTTAACCCATTATGTTTTTTCTTTTTTTTTTTGGGGTTAAATATGAAATATCGACAGTGAATATATTTAATTGGAGACACGATTAGTAGGATTGAATTAAGTCATTTGGAATTAAGATTTAATTTTTAGCAAGAACTGATTTAATCTTGAGGACGACTTGGTTTGATAATTTCAGATGCTACAGCTTGCTAATTATTTTAATTTGATGGAGAGGAAGTGGGAATCATCTCTGTTATGAGATTATTAGGAGTTGGTTTTGATTATGAATTGGTACTTAAACTTGAAGGTGAATATTGTCAGCAATTCCAATGAAATATTAAGATGCAGCATAATTTTTACTCGAATAATTTTTGTAGTAGACCTTATTTGCATTTATAACAGTATTTGAGGTTGTAACTCCATTTCAATGTTTTGTTTCAGCTTCCACAGCAAGAAAACTTGTTTGACTGCGGGCTCTTCTTGCTTCATTATGCAGAACTTTTTTTGGAGTTGAATATCGATTCAACTAAATACGCCAACTCTGTAAGTGGTTTTGTTCCTTTGGAGCATCGAACATTTCTCCTCTGAAAGCTTACTGAAAAGGCATTCTGAACATTGGCTTTTGACTTTTAAGTTCTTTTGGTTTATAGGAAACTCTTTTATCTATGATCAATAAATTAGAACAAAGCTTAACATTGGTCTTTTCAATATTCACGATAGCTACTTTAGTGTTGATCACGTGAAGGGAGAATAATGAAGCTGTTCTCTTTCTGCAGCTCAATCATGACTGGTTCCTTGCTGCTGAGGTTTCTCTTAAAAAACGGCACCATATTAAAAAACTGATCCACGGGATAGCTAAAGACAGAAAAAATCGTAATGAACAATTTCAAAGTGGTGGTAGAAATCAAGGGGACAGTAACTCCAGTGATGAATTTGAGATTAAAGAGCAACAATCATTCTCAGCCAAGTTCAAAAATAACAGATCAGTAAATAAGGATAAGCATGATAAGCTGCTGCCGCCAATTAATCTTTTCCGCAAAATGACTTTGCCGATGGAGGTATCCCCTGGGGCCCATTTTCTTTAAGCCTTTTACTTCCTTTGCATTGGAAATTGGGACTTGTGTGATAAGTGTTAACTGCGTATTTTCAGTTTTTTCATTGTTCTTTTTTCCCTCTGTGAACTCGTGTATGATTTCATGTTGAGCTGTCAGGATGCAGCCAGGCCCAAGGACTGACTTGATCCGGAGGAAAAAAAAAAATAAATCGTTTTTAGGCCTTGTGTTTTTTGTCTATTCCCGTTTTTCTTTCTGTGTTCTTTTTACACACTGGGCTCAGATCGGGCCATCATGAACCTGGCAATTTGACAACTCTAATTGGTTGGCTTCAATTGTTGTCACATTAAAATCATCTTTTCTGCATAATTTGAAAAGAAAAAAAAGATTCTTTATTAATTACTGTGGAATGACAAACAGGACACAATCGGGAATCACAAGGCCTCTCTCCCAGCAGGGGACCACACATCAAACAGATACAAAACCGGAGGAGATTATAATTACATATCGGGAAAAATGGAGGTCTCAGGAGAAACATCTTCCAGTGGGACTCGGATTATAATCGACATGCAAAACGAGGGTGATTGTGTTTCTGAAGTTGCATCTTCCTTTGGAAGGCAGGGAAAGCGGCATGGTAGCCTCTCAATTTCGTCTGATGATCTTGAGACCTGTGTTGTTGATGATTCTGAAGAGGAAAGCGAGACGGAGAACACTAGAAGGGCCAGAAAACCCTCTTTACTGATACAGTAACTGGTTTATTTGTGTGAAAAATGTGTATATTCTGCATGCTTCAAGGAGGAACAGAAGGCTGAACCTGTCCGTAAGGTTATTTTGGTTCAAAGGCTTGTTCTTAACAAATAGGCGTTCTTTTACGTGCAAGTGTCTGATTATACGTATAAGTATTTAACTGTTTTGGGTGCGTTGATGTAGGCAAAGATTCATTTAGGCATTTTAACTTGTGTATATATATTTATATATACTAGTAAATTATATGTGCGATGCACGTAGTGGTTTATGTTTTTTGTCCATTGAGTTTAGTAAAATAAATTTATAAATTTATTAAACATACCATTGTAAAAACGAAATAAAATATAAAGAAAATGAGTTACTAATATATGTTTTTTTCTTAACTAAAATTTATATTGTAATTATCTCTGTTACACCTTCAGTTAATAAAAGTCAACCCTAGTGTCTCCTTTTTCTCTCTCCCACAAAAACCAGATTCACTTTCCCGTCGTCCTCCCTTGGCCTTCTACCAGGCATCAGCCCCTCCTTTCCGGCTTCGCCGAGGTCGGAGGATGCTTTTTCGCCTCAATTTCAGTCGGGCGTGGGTCGATTTTGTAGCGGCTCCCGTAGTTGCTGCGGGTGGCTCTCGTTTCGGCTCAGGTTGGGGCCGTCGTGCCGTTTTTTTCTCCTCCGGCCTTGTGCCCGGCCGGGAGTCCTCCGTTTGGGCACTTTATTGTGTTGCTGGTTGGAGACTCTCGGAGGCTGAGTTGTCTTTCTCGGCCTCAGCGGCAGTAGTGTGTCTCGTCGTTGCCGTTCTTCGCGTGTGCCTTTTCTCTCCTGTGCGGATGTTCTGTGAAGGCCAGATCTGAATCGAGAATTTACTCCTCGTCAGATCTGTCTAGGTGACTCGTGTTTTGTAGCAGTTTTTGGGTCTGGGGTTTCGGTTTGCTCCTCTCTTGGACTTCTGTGCGGTAGACTTTGGCTTGCGCGCTGGTTCGGGTGGTTGTGTGTTCTGTGTAATAGTTGTAGGGGAGGTCTTATTATTAGTATATGTTTTTATGTGTGTTTTGTTTTTCTTAATTTTTTTT